TAAGAAAACTAATTAAAATCATATCAGGAAAATAATATCTTGATTGATAACTTATTCTAAAAAATATAAATATAATATAAATCTTCTCAAGAAATCAAGCAACCTGAAAATCCCAACGATACACCTTCCTTCTTTTCCAAGTGCCATAATTGATGCTTAACCAGAATTTTCCTCTCTTGCACGATTTCCTTCCAACTTTGAGCCACTTTATTTTAATTAATATTTCCCACCATAAATGACCCATATCTTGTCTTACATCAATTTATGATCAATTTTGTTCTCCAGTTAAGTGACAGAAGAGTTAGGGGAAACTGTAATTGCAAGTTGCAACACATCGACTCCAAACTTGTGCACTCTTTACCAAAGCGCTAAATTTGGCAACATTGGGTTTAGACGCAAGAACATAATTGAAGAATCGATCATGACATGTTTTGCCTACAGACACAAGATCATGGCAACAAGCATTAGTTACACTAGCCCCGCCTTCGAAAATACTTGCACCAACTACCCGAGCGCACTTAATGGAGATATGTTTTATACATTCATACAAGATCTTCAAATTTAATACCTCTGAGGTTGGAATTGTGATAGAAGATGTAGGAGAAACTGTAATTGCAACACATGGACTCCAAACTTGTTCGCTCTTCCCCAAGGCTCTAAATTTGTCGACATTGGGTTTAGGCGCAAGAGCAAAGTTGAAGAAAATATCATGGCAAGTTTTGCCTACAAATGCAAGATCATGACAACAAGCATCAGTTACACTAGCCTTGCCTTCGAAAATACTTGCACCAACTTCCCGAATGCACTTAATGGAGATATGTTTTTTATATTCATCCAAGGTCTTTGAATTTAATGCCTCTAAGGTTGGAATTCCAAAACATGAAAAAATCATTCCGGATGGACTCACCAAAAGCAAAGTGACCAATAATGCATACATGTTGAGTGCGGCCACAGTGCTTTGTAGTACCGAATTAGTTTTTATTTTCTCTGGGAAATGGAAAGAACTTTTGGATGGAGAAAGTTTTAAGTATTTGTTTATTTTTAAGGTTTTTGTTAAGGGCCCATGCGATTTTGAATATGAAAACGTCATAGTACCTCATAAATACACAACCGATTTAATTCATCTCGATATTAAAGACTTCCTTCAACTTGGTTAAGTTACAATACATTGCTAACCCAGAATCATTTATGAATGAACCTACTAATTGCACGACATCAATACAGTCCAATGGTTTATACGCAAGTTAAAAACATTTGTTGTCAATAACGTTTTTGTACCACAATAAGAAAGGCACTAGTTAATTAAGTAATTCATTTTTTTACAAAAGAAACCCCCCCCAACCTATAGGGTCATTTTCAAGTTCATACCTATTTTTGGGAGAATTAACACATACATACAAAGTCGCAGAAACCCTACAATTTACCCACTCCATTAGCGAGATCGTCAGGAAAGTCGTTATTTGCCTATGTGTACAATTTTTAGAGGGCATTTTTGGCATCTTATTGGGGGCTCATGTTTGGAGAATTGTCCCTCCCACTATATTACACGTGGCTCTCAATTTTTCAAAAACCAACCCTAATCGGAAACTAATCCCCAAATCGAAGTTTTATTCCCAAATTGCAAACCAAACAAATGAACCAAAATCGAAAACTTAATCCCCAAAACAAAACTTAATCCCCAAATTGAAACCTATTCTCCACATCACATCCATCAAAGACCACAAAGGAGGAAATCAAGTGTGGATTGTCCGTTGAGATGGCTTTGTGTGTTCATCGTTGTGGGAGTCATGCTCCTCATTAAAGTAATTTCCTTAGCTTTACACTACAACCCCGTTTATTTTCTTACTTTTTGGTTTCATTCGAGATGCTTAGGCCCCGTTTGGTTCACGGAACGGATTTGAGGGGAAATAATTTCCTATGTAATTTCCCAAGGGATGGGAAATGAAAAATTCATTTCCTACATTTGGTAATGTCGGGAAAGTAACCGGGAGATTTCACTTTGTTTCCTTTCCCATGTTTGTTTTGAGTAGGAATGGAAAACAAAGTTTGTATAATTTTCCAAGTATACCCATATTAAATTTAAATAAAAAAAGAATGCATTAAATGATACATTATAATTCTAAATTATTCATGGGGACAAAATGGTCATGAAAAATGTGCATTGAATATTGGCTCATTTTCCCAAACTTTCTCATGAGGAGGGAAAACAAAACCCAAGTTGAGAGGAGGGCTTCACTTTCCCCCCTACTTTCCCATATGCCAGGCAACCATTTCCCATGCTTGGACTTACCGAACATGGGAAAGTATTTGATTTCCCATCTCCAAGCCTCCTTTCCCATGAACCAAACAGGACCGTGATTTAGTTGTTGTAACTTTTTATTTGCTTTGAATTGTAGTTGATTTTATATATTGAAGTAGTTTTTCATTGGGTTGGGTTTGTGAGAACGTGATATTGATGGTCCATTTGTGTCGGTGTGTGTGAGGTGTATGTCCATTTAATATCAAAAGTTGGCTAATATGCGTTTTTTTTAGGTGTATGTCCATTAGGATATTGTGGAAATGGATTTATGTCTTGTGAATTACATATTTGGAAATGGATGAGTATGTATACAACTTGAGCCAAAAATGCAAAATCAGTCTACACATTTGGAAATTGGCTAACATTTCATACATAAACCACTTTCATACAAATTGACAGTTCAAATTACACAAATCACTTTCATATAAATAGACTAGTCAGACTATATAAACCAATTTGATTCTCCAAAAGACTCCATCAATGCCACAAAACACATCACCCAAACCTCCTGAAATTCAATCCCTAAAATTAAAGTGCTAGTTTCACATTCTTGGATGATCCAATCTCTCTCTATTCCAATACTTGCATTCCCAAAAATACAATCACAATAATTCACGAACCTAGTAGACTTGCTTGTAGACTCCTTTATGCTTTCGAGGCAGCTCTAATCTCCATTTTCAATTTTTAATTTTCCTCTTCCTCTTTATATTAATCTTTTGAATAGCCCACGTATCACAATCTTCGACCTTTCGCATACATGTGGATCATACCATTCAAAGAATGAACAACCTCTTATTATCTCATAATTGATGCAGCCCTAAAATCTTGTCCCGGGTTTGTCGTCGTCCACAACGTTGTGAGACAACATTGATTGCGGCAACGACAAATAGACGGGCCTACTTCAAATTTGCAGACATTGTCGTCTTCGCTCTCTGCAATTTGGAACATAGGGCGCGACTTTTGTCGATTTAGGGCTTAAGGTCTAAGAATATGTTGATTTGGGATTTGGGAATTAGGAATTATGGTTGGTTTTGGGTGCCACATGTAATGTTATGGGCGTGAAAATTCTAAAAACATGAGCTTGTAGTGAGATGCCAAAAATGCCCTCTAAAAATTGTAAACGTAGGCACCACGTGGGCAAATAACGACTTTCTTGACAATCTTGCTAACAGAGTTGGTAAATTGTAGGTTTTCCATGATTTTGAGTATGTACTTGTAAATTTCCGGCCTGAATGAAGTTAAACTTTGTTTATATTGAGTTAAGATTTGAATTTGATTATTTATTTACAATATGTTCATTTATTGTATATGAACAAAATTATGCAAATATAGTCCAACTTTCTTTTGTTCATGATGTATTGGTTGGATGTTTATGATCTTCAATATGAAAACGAGTAAGATGAAAAAGATGAAAATAATGAGAGTGATAACGAAAAAGACAAACATAGACGTGATAATAGTTATAGTAATTATATTATATGATCCAATAAAATGAAACAAAAAAGATTTCCAACCAAAAAAAAAGAGAAGTTTATTTTGAGGGGAAAAAGAGCTAAGGAATAGACACACTTAATGAGATAACAATGTTTTTTTTGTATGCTAAAAACAACGGTAGTTGACGCGCAAAATTGTTAACTATTCTTCTTTAAATTGTTCAAGATCATTAAAATGGTAGAAAATAAATTAGTAGCTAATACACATTGATTTTTTTTTTTTTCCGTTTAATGAACAAATTATAATGAGACAAGTCCTTCACCCTTTAGGGTTGTTGCTCGCACTTTGGTGAGCCAGGCATGTGTTTTTTTTCTTTTGCCCTAGTCCCTCCCTATTTCCTCCAGCTTCTCTTTCCTTTTCTTTCTCTTCCACATTTGGGGGTGCTGCTCTGTTTTTGAAGAGTCGTTTTCTAATTTTTTTTTTTCTGTTAACTTGGTTTTTTCTTTTTTTGGGGAAATTATTAGTTTTTTCTTCGGGTGGTGTGTTTACAAGTATTTGCTATGCTTTTTCTCTCCTCATCGCCGAAGGTTGCATGTCATCATCGGGTCTCAACCACTCTTATCGTCTCTTTGAATCCATAGATGTCTCTCCCATCGGTTTCCCTCAATGGCACTTATGGACTTTGAGATGCCCTTAAAGTGCAAATAGATTATGGTAGCGTTGCTTGTTGTACTTGTTGTAGCCTGGTGCCTTGCCCACCACCATTTTTCGTTGGTTACCGGTTTCTCTTTGGTTGTTGTTGACTCAATTTGGTGGTGTGACTTGTGGATGTTGGATTGTGTGGGACATATTTGTTATTGTTCTTAGGGTTTCTTAAGGCAGTGTTGTATTTTGTGGGCTTTTGTCTATTATGGGTATTTGATGTTTTGAGGCCTTTTGTCTTTATGTGGGCTTTATGTTTTGGGTTAATTACAATTTTGGTCACTAAGGTTTCGCTCGAAATCAATTTTAGTCATCGTCATTTCAATCTCAAATTAGGTCATATCTCTCAATCTTGTCAATTTTTTTGATTTCCTAAGGTATCCCCAGAGATGGCCCAGGCCTAATCCTCTGAGGTACTGTCGAGCGCATATGCGGGGACCTCTCCCAAAAAAGTTTTCTGCATCCACAAAGACTCGAACCCGAGACCTCTTACTTAAGCAACCAGAGCCTCTTCCACTCTGACAAACCCTCATTGGTCAATCTTGTTGTGTGCACAAAAACAAAACTCAAAGTCTCTCACGCGCCTCTCTCTCTCTCTCTCTCTCTCTCTCTCTTTCTCTCACAAACAGAGAGACGCAGACCCTGTAGAAAAAACGCCTTCGCACTTCACTACCTGCCTGTCGTTTTTGTTACATCGAAAAAGAAACGGGGTTTTCCCCCCTGTGTTATCAAAAAAAGAAAATGAAACGGAAGTCACTTCTCTCTATAAAATCTCTTTCTTTCTAATTGGGTTTGCTGAGCTGAAGCATGGTTGCCGGCCAAATCTAGAGTAGCCCATTTCATGGTTGTCTACCATTTGAAGGAAATCTTCTTCTTTTGGGCAGAGCCCTTCCCGTTTTAGCTGGTGCTTTGTTTAAGGAGGTTCGGTCGGTGAAAGATCAATTCTTTGGGTCATTTATTTCTTAACTGGTGTCAATATTGAGTCCCTGAACAAATCTAAGCAAACCCATTTGGTCAGTGACAGTGGAAGAGGCTTCAAATTAAAGGTGTGTGCTTGATGGATTTCGTTTTCGGAAATAAATTTTCTGCCTTTGCTTTTGTGAAATAACTTGGTTTTTATGCTTTCACTGATCTGTTTGTGTCACCAATGTTAGGTGTAAGTTTGGTTTGTTGATGTATTGCTTTCTAGTTTGTGGGGTTTTGATGTTTGATTGATTGGTATCCATGGACTAATCGCTCTTCATCAAGCTTTTTTTTTTTCAATGACAAATCTCTCTTAGGGTTTGATGTCAACACAATGATGTTTTTTATTTTATACGAAAAGCTATTTTGCCTGGAAAAAAACAGAAGTTTCATTGATGTAAGAAGTCTGGTTAAACAGAAGTTCATTTTTTCCATAATCATTTTTGGTGTTGTTTGTTTCATGGCTTTTTTGTTCCAAATGTAGTTGGATGTGGGCAGTAAAGTTTTGGAATTAGTCTTGGCCATTTGATGCTGAGAGAAGTATTATTTTTTCTGATACCCTCACCTTCTGGGTATGCATTTTAATTTGATACCATTTTCCTTCTGGGTTTGCATCATTTGGTGCAATCTCCTATGCCTTTGCTTAGTTGTGTAATGTTTTCATTTTGGTAAGAAATGAAATTTCTGACATTTACAAGATTTTGTTGCGCTACATAATATCATATCTGTAATTTGGAGGTGCGGGATTTTCATAATTGAATCTCCAGTATTCAATCACCAAGACTGTCTGAACTTTGAAGTTTTTTTTATCATTTCTGGCTGCATTTTTTTTTTGTCGTGCTTGAAGGTTTCCCACATGGATATCGGTCTGGCTATCCCGGATATAAATCTCTGCCAATCTTGTCAATTTAATTGCACGTACTAAATGTGTGCAGAGGCAAAATTGTATTTCCCCAATTTGGACTCTGACTTATTTTGAGTTTTATTATTTTAGTGGGCTTTTTCGGTTGCATTTGTTAGAATTCAATTTTTTAAGTTTCTCTGTGATGTAATTGTCATTAACTTTCTTTGTTTCTTTGTTTCTTTCTTTTTTTTCCTGGTTTGTTGTTGCGTGTCATTAGCTTTCTATTAATGAAACTTGATTCCCACAAAAAAAAAAAGTTCATAACTTGGGCAATCATTGAATGGTAAGCTATTGTTCTTTTGAATTGTTCAAGAACATTTTTATAAAATGAAAAGGAGAAAATGAATTTGCTTTTTCAAGATATTAACACGACCAATTGAGAGTAGCATTGCTAAATTTTCCACAATATATTTTTCTTTTCCAGGTGATAAAATAGAAGCGTCAAGTTTTGAGGACTAACCAGTGACTGTGAAGACTAAATAAAACCGAAAGAGACTGAAAGATGGCAGGCCTTCCTACGTCATCGTTTAAGGCAAACACCGGTAGTGCCGCTGCAGAAGACCCCAAACTCGGTCTCATGAAGCAGATACGGAGCCACGAGGTTGCAATTGCAGAGCTCAATGCTCTTTCACCGTCTCGGGTATATTTTATTTATGTCAAAACAAAAACCAAAGAGTTATATTTCATTTTGTTGCATTCAATTGAGTTGAAGAGTACTTGAATCGTGTTCGTGTAGAATTTTCTGAATTGGGTTCTTCGTTTTGAAACAAAAAGTGAAGTTGGTTGTGGTAATTTGGTTGTTTGGGTTCTTCCCATAAGCCTAGATGGTTTAGGTTTACATGGTTCAGTTGAGAAATTCATGTTTTCCTTAGCATCCAGTCTATTTGAAATCTATTTTCAGTTTTTAGTTGTTTGTTTGTGCATTGGAGTAATAAGATGATCATTTGGTTTATCTCTAGCATTGTTTATGTAATTGTTGCAAATTTGATATGGAATACACTTTTGTTAACCACTCTGCCCTGCCTATTATCAATGCTAAGAATTTCTTTTCTTTAAGAGTAAATGTTTGTTAGTTCCACAAATTTTGTTTTACACATTTCAAAGTTGTATGATTCTGTTCATGGCAAATTCTAGGTAAATATAACAATAATAGTAATAGTCATTAAACTAATACATTTTGTCTACAGTGTTGTCATTATCTTTTGAATTTTAACTCTAAATTCTAGAAAGCCAGCAAGCTCAAATTGTTTTCATTTCATCGTTTCAATGTTCCAAGTATTAGTTCTCTTCCGTGGTCTTTTTTATTTTTTTTATCGTTTTCTTTACAAGTAGAAGCCCAATTGCCCTTCTCATCAGCTTATTTTGTTGGAGTGCTTTGTTAATCTACACCGATGTAAATACAGCTCCTTCTTGATCACAGGCTGTCTATCAGAAGAATGGGAACTTGTTTTTCCGTACAACAATCCAGAAAGCAACGACATCTGAACAAAGTAACAAGTTTTGCATCAAATCTTTGGTATTTGTCTCTGGGTATAAATAGCTGAATTGATGCAATTTTCCTTGTTCACTGTTTGTATTGTGCAGAACAAATTGATTTGGCTAAAGCAAGCCTAGGAAAGCTGAATTCTTCTTGATATGACTTGGCTTACGATGATGGTAGTCCTACAGCCTTTTAAGGTAAAAACCCTTGTATTAATAGGCACATACATCCACTAGATATAAGTCTTACCCAAGTGATGTATTTCAATGGCAAAGATATGTGATACTTTTACCATCATTATATTTCAACTGGCACCAGATACGCTTGAGTGCTTACTGTGATCCTGCCAACAAAGCAGACTTTCTTTTCTGTTACCTTTCATTGACTTCTGCATCTGTTTGCTATATGCTTGTCGATGCTTTTTTTTTTCCTCTCATCCATTACTTACATCCAATTACCTTTCACTGACTAAGGGATCTAAGGAGTTATATTGGAGATAATGCTAAATCATTTGTCATTGTATTGGTGTTACAAAGTAGTCTTTATCTTTTTAATAAAGCAGCATTAACTCTCAACTCTAGTCTTTTTTTTTTATGTTTATTTATTTTTATAGATTTATTAAAAACACAATAAAGTACACCCTTTGTTTGTAGTGAAGACAAAACAACAAAGCTGATAATACTCTACCTTGTAACTAATGTAAACCAATACACATATTAGACTGTCAGAAAACAGCTGCATTAAGAGAAGAAAACTGAATGTTCCAAAACTCATAAGACACAGAAACCCAAAGTGAACCAAATTTTGACTTTTCCCCCTAAATCTTCATCCCTCCCTGGAATTACCCCACTCAGTTTGACTTCCCTAAACAACCTCAACAACTGTGATACTATAGAGTAATAAATAAATAAATGACCCACACTTTCACCCTCTTTACATATTATGCACCACTACGGAGCAAGATTTCCTAAGAATCAACTTAGTTAAATCCCATACTATGTATATCCAAAAAGGGAATGATCCATTAAGCGTACATAGCCTTACTATGAGCAACTGTCAAAGTAAGAATTGTTACTTTAGGAGATGCCTTAGCCTTCAAAGTCACAGAAAAAAGTTGGAAAATTGGAAGAGATGGATAGCCAGGTAGGACTACAAAATTTGGTTTACATGAAACAAACCCCAGAATCATCAAAAGTCCACCTCCAAAACAACCAAGACCTAGAAGGAGATTATTGAAGAATCTCTAACAAAGACAGAAGTGACCTCCACAATTTCAGGGTCAGTTAAGTTTCTTTGGAAGCCAACATATCTATCAACTCAAAGAACGAAAAGAATTGACTTAAAATCTAGCAATGGGAACATTATGAAAAGTGGACAATCTGCACAAAGGCAATTTTTTCCAACCCAACACTCATCCAAAATCTAATCCTTTCTCCACTTCTCCACTTCTCCACTACCCACTACAAGCTCACAGCAAGGAGAAAAGTACCATAACCTTGGAAATGTCTTTCAAAGGACAGCAACTCAAACCCCTCACTAGAATTCCATCCATTTTCGTGTAACCCATGCTTCCTATAACAGCTAATGGAAAGCTCTATAACAACTTCCCAAGTAAGGCCCTATGGAGAGACATACTGGCTAACTACCAATCAAATGATATCTAAGTTTTTCAAACTACTTGGTTATTCTCATCTTCGCAATGGTTCTTGCTTTCCAAATTAAGTAAACATGATCCTAAACTAGCCATTTTGTATATAGCTGATATGACTTGAGGTCTATTCACGATTAACTGTTTTCATTTGTCTTTATTACATAAAACTTGAAAGAATGCATGAGGGTGTTGTACATACCAATAAGAAATAAATAAAATTGCCGGATACCATAGTTAATATATAAAAAATAAAAGAGGGAAATTTCAGTTTTTCTTTGCATCTTCAGACTTTTCGGTGTCTTAAATGATCAGAATATATGGGTGAATCTTCAGGCTATTTGTGATAAGAGTGAAGAGAATAAACTCCTTTGAGCTTTACAAATAAGATTTACCATGAAGGTTTGTTGTGCCAAGGTTTTTGTCAGATTGGCCTTTTTGGCATGGACAGCCTGTTTAAGACTTTTTTTGGGTAATGTTTTTGGGACAATTATTGATAGTGGATTTGATACTTTAATTGGTGTTGTGAAACAGGATTCAGTGAGTGAACCGCTTATTGTTGCAGATTCCTGTTGGTTGGGAGGTCGTGGGGATTCTTGTCTCACCCATTTTCTTATTTCCAAAATGGGCTTCTACCGTGGACATAATTTTGTGAACAATACATGTAGAGACTTTTAGACAGAAGCATTATGTTTCAGAATTTTGTACAAATACCATTTGAAGTATAGGGGTTATGAGGTTATAAATATACATCTCTCCCTCCTGCCCTCCTTGGTTGTCTCCCTAAGCATTCCGTACCCTCCCCGATCGCCCCAACTATCCTCGATCCTCATCTCTGAGGCACACCCCAACCACATCCACCCAAATCCACACCCAAACGAATATGTTGACTATGCTTTCGATGCCAAATTAGGTACTCATTTTTGGATTAAAAAAAAAATTTGGTACATTATTATGATTATACACGTAAGTACATACATGTACATGCAATGTATGTATAAACGTACCCAAGTTTCCAACAAGGGACCAAAATTGAAATTAAATCTAAACATGGAAGTTTAATAAACTATCTTATTCAAGAGTAACAGTGTAATTATCTTATTAATAAACGAACAAATATTGGAGAACCATGACAACTGAGAGAGTCAATATTAACATGCGGACTTATATACAAATTTTTTTGATCCTAAATTCATGATTTTAGAGAGTTTTTATCACAAATGGTCTTTCAATTTTTGAAAAACCCGAAACTGAAGTTTTTATCCTCTCTAACTTGTTTCAAGAATTTTTTTTTTAAATTAAATTAAATTTATTTTATGTGGAACTTGTTTATTGAATATTTGGAATGAAAATTATTTTGGTGGCTTAACTGCTCTGTTAATGGCAAATGGGGTCGTCGTTTCTGGGCTTTTAGTGGATTAAAGCAGCAAAGAAAGGCCCAAGTAATAAAGGACGTTAGTGCTTGTTAGACATGGGATACGTCACATCGTGAATCCCACATTGGAAAACTCCTCTATGCATGAAAGCTTTATATATGGTCGTTTAACAACAAAGCTCGTCCCTTCGGGGACATCCGATAAAATTGGAACGATACAGAGAAGATTAGCATGGCCCCTGCGCAAGGATGACACGCATAAATCGAGAAATGGTCCAAATTTTTTTTGCCTTTTTTGCGCGTTTGTTTCCCTAGTTGCAGAAGATTATAGATAAGTTCAGTAGCTGATATTGCAACTGGTTTTGACATTAACATCATTAACTTGTGGAGCTTTTACACATTTTCTGTATGATTTTTTATCATCTACAATCCATGTTTTACTTAATATCCTATACTTTGAAACCGTGTTATGATTACGAATACGAGTGCATCAAGTACTGACACGTTACATGGGACTACATCTGTACAATGCCTCGAAAAAAATTCTCCAAATCTCAGATCAATGTTAATCAAGAAATTCTAAGATGTTTGGAATGAAATATTGTGAACCCTTTTACTCATGAATTAAGTGGGTTTATAATTCAATCCACAAAGAAAGGCACAATAATCAAAGAACGTGACTGTGTTGGAGATTGGGCTTGGGGTCCGATAACTAAGGGTGGGGAAGCAGGCTTGGCTCTTAAAAAGATACCACGAGTCCCACATTGAAAAATCCTTCTATTCCTCGAAGCTTTATATATGGTCGTTTAACAACAAAGCTTGTCCCTTCGGGGACATCCGATAAAATTGGAACGATACAGAGAAGATTAGCATGGCCCCTGCGCAAGGATGACACGCATAAATCGAGAAATGGTCCAATTTTTTTTTGCACTTTTTGCTTGATTTTCGATTTTTTCTCCCTTTTTTTTTTTTTTTTTTCAATATCTGAGTGAGTCTTTAATCTTCCTGGTGTGAGTCCAAGTTTGAATTTAGTGTTTGATTATTGATTGTTTAGTGACTGGTCTTCCATTAGTTGTTCACAAGTGCTGGATTGAATGCATATAGAAAGTTCGCCTACCAGATGTCTGATAAAATGTCTCTGTTACTATTCGGCCCTAACAAAATTGTTTTTCTTACTTCTTGCTCACCGAGTACTTGGTACTTGCCACCTCACATTGTTTCGTGATATTTCTTGTTACTTCCTAGGAAACTTGAGGAATCCTAGAGACTCGGACACAGCTCTGCCGTTGGATCATCTGACTCAGTTGCTAGCGAGCCTTCTATCTTAAGAACAATCTCGGAATATGAACCTGCATTCACATCCTCATATCGTGACAGTGGGATCTCTCGGTTTCCTTTTCTTGCAAGCTAAGTGAGGAGATTTAATACGTGCTCAGTTTGGCTTCTCAGGACACAGATTACTACACTTCTGCACGTATTTGAGACTTTTGTGCACTAGCGGTTAATAATAAAAAATACATTTCGATTTTCAGCTCAATGAAATCCAAGTTTTCTATATTTATATTGAGATTTGAAAACTGACATCAAGTTCAAACTGAGTTTGCATGAATGGATTCTTGCTTTATTTCTATACAAACCATTTCATACAAGGTAAAAAAACAAAAAACAAAAAACAAAAAGCATGCCCACATAACGACCCGACTGACGAGACAAACTTTTTTAACCCACAACGTCTATATAAAGTCTTCCTAAATAGAACATGGAATTAAGAGATTGAGCCTAGAACAAACTTGCAACCCTTACAACTCTTGGCTCGCTTGCTGAAACAACACAACAGCAAGAGTCAGAAGGGATGCATAAACTGAATTGGGTAACCTCTGCACCACCTTCCCAATGCCTGGTACACCCTCCGTAGCCCTCTTCGTTGCCATTGCAATTGTTGGTGCTGCAACCAATGTCAGGATCAGTCCCTGACTGACTACAATGAATGTGTCGGCTGTCAGCTGCTTGATGAACTTCGTGAACTCTTCACGGTCAATTTCTCCATCGAGATTGATATCGTTTTCCTGCAAATACACTGAGTGAAAAATCTTCTATGTGGTTCTGCTCAGTACGAACTATAGCTTAATAGGATAACAAGTTTTAAAGCTCTACAAGTTACTGAAAGAGAATCCTCAAGAAAAAAAAGATAGAACAGATGTTATGATTTATCCATGGTCATGGTTACCAAGATTATGGAATCAGCTCGGCATTCAAATGCCAAATAAACAAATCTCCTAAATATTCAACAAGATCCAACCATGTATTGAGAGTATAAGTATTTGTTAACAAAGAGCCTACATCTACAACCAAGCACCCCTAGAACACCCAAGACACTAAGTATCAAAGTCCATAAAGGACTTTACAATAGATGCAAAATGTCGAGCCCAAAGAAACGGCTCAGCCAAGGAATTCCCCCTCACATCCCCCCCTTTTTTTTTCCTCTAAGATGTTAGTTATCAGTTTGACACTGACTTTGGGACATGGAGCTGTAACAATATCAAAACTGCACTTAACAAGATCTCAGCAAGGAGATGTAAATATCATTGAATTTCCTTTTTCTTCTCATTAAATTTGAGATAACCATGTTGTACTCTTTCACGTGGAAGTAAGCTGGAAAAGAAAAAAGAACAGCTACTGGCCTCTTTTCCCAACACACGACTTTTTACTGTTGACAATAGTATTGTAGTCTTCTATGTACTTCTATGCAATGCATAACTAAACCCACTACAAAATTCATTGGGTTCAACATTGTCTAAAAAAGAATAACAGGCTCAGAATCTCTGTTACGTTTTCTTTAGGTTTCCTGAAAAGAGACACCTTAGACAAACTCTCAACATGAATTTTTACTAGCAAACAATGACGACAATTTTCCCTTGCATAACAAACTGCAGAAACAAAAGGTTATTAAACATAGAAAGTCATTTCTTCAAGATACTGTTCCTGACATTGATGCATAATTTCACATAAAGACTAGGATGATATGATGGATTTCTATTAAAAATTGCAGGCCATCACAGTTATCTATCCAGATTATGCAATCAACTTGTCATTCAAATGCCAAATATCAAACAGTTGAACAACCCATTTCTCATCAATGTCCAAACACCACCTATTTTTCTAATGAAATTTCCCAAATTAGGGAACTCAAGAACTTGGTTCCCTTTTAGTCAGTCAGAGAGACAGAGGATGATACCCAACTCATAAAATTTATAACTTCCAACCCAACATCTACATCACAAACACCAATCACCTTTCTCTAAGGCAATTGTACATACAAGAAGACAGTACAATCAATTTAAGAGAAAAAGCATGTCTCTATAGAGAACTAGCCAGGCTAGACTTCCATTAATGCCTCAACCAATAAACCTATTGAAACAAGTATAGGTGACTTACGATGATGAATTTTTTCAGTCAAAATGAGTAATTTTAAATTAGGTAATCAGCAGACAAATAAACTTAAAGCAGAACTCATCGGTCATGTCTATAGAACCTCTTCTATTGCAACCCAACCCTCAAACAAACTGGTACTATGTCAAATCATGCTAAACCGGACCAAATAAAGAAAGACAAAGGGTTGTTTCCTTCAGACCATGAAAAATTAATGTTAAACAGAAAGCATAAAGGTCGCAAACAGCAACTTAAAGGTGTTTCAGTTCATCTTGATAAATAAGAATTTTATGGGTCTAACTGACTTTAGTTTAAAGTTGAAATATAAAATCTTGTGAGAGTAATAACTAGCAGTTGTGCTCTATTAAATTGAAAAAGTTGCAAGCATATGTGCAGATAACTAGCTTTCCATAATCCAAAACTATAAATGGATCACAAATCTTAGTAAGCGAAAACTTGGTTCTACGACTTGACTTTTGCAGTAACACCTAAAAATCAAGAAACATAAAATAATGTGATTGAAGCTTATGGAGGATGCAAGAAAGGCGGCACCTGAAAATTAAGTCAGGAATTCATTACTTTGACTTAACAATTTATATGAAATTTCCTACCAAATGGGACGTATACCATTGATATTTTCAAAGGAAATTATCTTATGCGTAAATGGTTTGATACTAACAAATTTCATTTCATCAGTTTGTTTTGTAACAACAAAAAATCCTTATAATAGAAAACTGATGCACGTTTAGGTACTCCCTAGATTTTAACTCATCCTCTATGTTTAAGCAGTTTAAATTCAGCAGCCACTCAAAAACCTATGAAGCAGTAGGAACAAAATGGGTCAACATTCATCAATGATTAGAGTACCTGAAGCAAAGCTTTGACACGGTCTTTGGAGGGTGGATCAAAATGTGGGCCAGGTAAACGCTTATTGATATCACTAGAACAAGAAGATTAAGAAAGAAAAAAAATACCTCAATTAGAATAATGTGGACACCAGCAGAATGATTTTTTAATCAGCTAAACATTTGGAAAAAAAATTAGTAAGAAAAGCTTCTCACTTGTACACAAGTAGTACACCAATGTACAGATCTTCAAATGTCAAGTTAGCCCTTCCTGACTCATTTTTAAAATGATCAAACACCTTGTTTGTAATCTTTTGTATTTGCTTTCGCCTCCATTGCTTACCTGCAAGGTGGAAAACTATCAGATACAATGAAAACATAATTAAGGGTTCTGATTCATGTCCAGTAATGAAACATGTCAGACTGTCTGTTAGGATGAATATCTACAAATTTCTTTGATGGATGGCCAAAGGTATCATCTTGACCATCACATCTAAAATTCAGTACAACAAAAAAGATATGAAAACATGGGCATAAATTTGATGTCCAAAAGCAAACTTTCTAATGCATCTGAGGAAACCCATCACTCAAAACAGAGGACCAGTAGGTTTGTGTTGGAGTGAGTTGGCCTTAGAACCCATAAAAGCTAATGCATGACTCTGTGATTCAACATCATTTGCAAATCCCACAAGTGCGGAAGGATGGAAGAGCAACACAAACCCATCCAAACTAAAATGAAAAATTAAGAAAAGGAAGAAAAAAAAAAGAAGAAAGAAAGCGAAAGCGCAGTAGAAAAATTAGTGGGTTCTTTATGATCTACAAAACTAAAGATTCAGAACTGGGAAAGAAACACTATTGGGATCGAAAGAATTACAAACATTTATCTTTTAAAGCTTGTTTCTTTCTTTTGTTTTTACATCAAAATCGATGAAAGCTTTGAAGTGGTACCTTGTAATCTGTCCAGCACCTGTCCCATGGCGAAGTAGTGAGCTAGTAGACAGAGAGGCCTTTTGCAGCTTCCTTTGGATGATAAAGGAAGAAAAGATCCTTTGGTATCGGAGCATTGAATTGACTTTTTCAGGCCACGTACGCATAAAGAAAAGATCCTCTACGGCAACCGTCAAGAGATTGTTTGTTATTTATTTTCGATGCACTATTATACTCAATATAGGAACTCAAATTATAATATAAAAAGAGACTCTATATGAAATGAATTTTAGAAACACACTCAAAGCTCATTTATAAGATAACAAAAAGGCTTTTAATTTTTTATAAATTACAAAACTGTAATCGATTTCGTAAAACAAGCTCAACTCCAAAATCTCATAATAAAAAAAACCAAAACACTCAATAGGGCATCAAAGTAATTTAATAATCAAAATTAAATTCAATAAGGTCAATTGTTATTTTTTGAGTTTTTTATGGGTTTGTTTATAGAAATTAAATGGTGTATGATTTATCTATATCATTAGTGCTCTAAGAATGGATATATAACTAAATATCACTTTATTTTTTAGAGGAAAATTCGAACACATGACCTTTCGAAGGACATTTCTAATAGCAATTCACCACGGTGGTCTCTATTTCTGGTCTATATCCATTATTTTTAGACACCCTTTTATACTCCAAGAACAAAGTATCTTTGCTCTAATGGGGCTCTCTAAACTTTTTTATGTGCTAATTTTATTTTGTGTTAGCCCTTTTTATTTTGATTTTTGTTTAGAGAGCCCATAAAAATGAAATAAAAAGGGCTAATATATTTAAAAAAGATTTCAATAAAAAAGATTCATATTCAAATCAAATAGGATTCATATCAACCGTTGGATCAAATAATGGTGTAGGAGATAAGATTTGCTCTCATCATATCATTTTCAATTCTTAGCATGTTGTGTAGTTGCCCAGCAAATGATTCACGAGAAAAGGTTTGCTCTTTTACTCATACAAGAAATTTTCAATCATATCAATGAATGTGAGCAATAAAATTAAAGTTCTCAATAAATTACTATGGTAAAATGTGCAACTAATCACCTAAATCTAATTTAATAAAACAAAACTCATGTTGTTCATTTCACTCCCCCACTCCTGGGTCTCTTATTTTGTTGAGAGATATATTAGCTGAATTTGGTGTAACATTTGTTAATGGTTATCTATTAAGATTTGAGGCTCTTTATTATCCTCGGTTCTTCTTATTTTTTGAGTCAAAGCTAGGAAGGGGAAGGGGATTTACTCGCACACACTGCTAGTGCTTAAAGATTTCAAATATGTGACCACCGGTCTTAGACTAAATATACTTTTTCATTATGACCCCATTGACCTAAGTTCTTATTAGCTGGAGTGAAAATCTTGAAATTGTTGAATACGACTCCGCATTGTTGGACTTGACAACACATTCTCAATAGTTGCATTCTCCACTTATCGCAACCCAAACTCATGATAGAGCTACGCCAAAATAGAAGAGATGGGGGACATTTGTGGGGACACAGATTTTACACAGATTTTACACAACTAATTACACATTAATTAGGAGTGAACGACACCGTTTCAGCTAGAGCATTCCTCCTTTGCTTGAATAGGTGAAACTTGGGCCACGAAAGCAGCATCCGAAGAAGATCATGGGAGCCAAACCACGTCTGAGTTCAACTCAGCCTCTAAGCTTACACCACGTGGCACCAACAATTGAGAACATCCAAGACTACTTGAAACAATATAAATATCCAAAGACCTCACATCATCTTAAGTCTAACCTAAACATCGGAGGATTCCTTATTGATATGTCTCACAAATTTTAATCTAGTCTTACTTTGCTTTTTAGAACTCAATTTGCCTCACATAAACCTCAAATGTTAATCTCGTATCTAACTTTGCTTCATTATATCAACTCTTTTAGAGGAATACGCTTAAGTCTTTCGATATTCAAGTTCTTATGGAGAGTAATTTGGCACTTTTGATTGAAGACCTTGTTATAAAATATATAATGCTTCTAGAGTCATGTCATCATAATGGCTAAGTTGAGTGCATTGTCCTATCAATTTCCTGTTTTTAGTGTGCTTGATGGCCACAAATATCTTTCTTTCCTTTGGTTGCCTGGATATTAAAGCTCTGACGAGAGTGACTTTCTGCAGATTGTTGTTGATTCTATACATGATCCAAAAGCTGGTGTAGTATTTGACCCGAAGTCGTTAATACAAGCCCTTGTTGACATGATAGGCAGATACACGAGTACAAATCTTACTGCGGTAGTCTAATGACAGTGAAAAAAGGAGCAAGCATGGTAATTTTCATCATGAGGTACAAGTTCAACAGCAAATCAATCTTTTTACAGCAGCTCTCCATATCAAGTACACTAGTTCATGTTTCCGGAGATACATGTCTTTTGTACATGTCTTTTGTACGTCAATACCGTTGTTTGTTAAGGCCCATGTACATGTCTTTTGTACATGTCTTTTGTACCGTTATTCAATGATTAGTGTATATATATATATACATGTCTTTTGTACGTCAATACCGTTGTTTGTTAAGGCCCATGTACGAGGGTTAGCAATTTGAATATTTCTTTATGTGCTCGTTATTTTTTTTTTTGTGTGTAAAAAAAATGAGAAATTAATCCGTAGACAATTCTCCAAAACCTAGTTGTCATTTCGTAATTAAACAAGTGTTGATTTTCGTAGGAGTGAATTGTGTTTAATACGGCTGTCCGTTAGTTAAGGCCCAAGTGTAATGTCATTGATGTATGTAGAGCCATGCAATTCTTTGAACAAATAATGGATAGCACCAAGTTTAGTTAAGCTTTTCAAGGGACATAAATTGCCTAATTGGCTTATTATTATTATTTTTTGGTCATTTCCATGTAAAGGGTACGGAGAAAAAGGGATGCAAGATGTACAAACACACATTAGATTTCATGTTCAGCAACCAAAACGAAACATTTATGCTTAGACTAACTACTTCCAAGACTATCTCAGTATAGTGAAACAGTACTAGTAGATAATTATCTTCAGTCCTAATCAACCTCAGAAGAAAACTTCGCTCGCTAACATGGCAACATATCTGGAATGCAACCTGGTTGCCAAAGCCACCACAGATTGCCAAATCGAGATCCCGAGATCTTCTATATATACTTAGATCTCTTGAGGGATAAAATGTGTGCCTGCTAGGTACTACATGATTGTTTCTATAAGCATAAGCATAAACAAAATTCATTTCACACAAATCCTCAACCAGTAAATAATGGCTTTCACACTTAAAAAAGTCATCGTCTATTCTACTGACACTTTTAGTCTTGGGGGTGTGGGCTTCCCAAGCCAACTGCCGCACATTGCTTGATGCTCATACTTCCATGTTAGATAGACATGAGCAGTGGATGGCTCGATACGGACGCATCTACAAGGACGATGAAGAGAGGGAAAAGCGTTTCCAGATATTCAAGGACAATGTGGAGTTCATAGAGTCCTTCAACTATGCTAGCAATCAGCCTTACAAGCTAAACATCAATAGATTTGCAGACCAGAGTCATGAAGAATTCCAAGCGTTTCGCAACCGATACAGAACATCCCTCAATCCCATGTCATCTAAGACACCTTTTAGATATGAGAACGTGACTGCAATCCCATCCAGCATGGATTGGAGAAAAAAGGGAGCTGTCACCCCCATCAAGGACCAGGGTGAATGTGGTAATTAGCCAAAATCACTAATACCCTCATCATAATTTTTGTTTTCAACTCTGCGGTTCACATTAATCTTTTCTAACTCGGGCTTGTATTGTGATATGGTATATAGGATGCTGTTGGGCATTTTCTGCAGTGGCAGCCACAGAAGGCACTACAAAGCTGAAAAGTGGGAAGCTCGTGTCTCTTTCGGAGCAAGAGCTAGTGGATTGTGACACTCAGGGTGAGAACCAAGGCTGTGAGGGTGGTCTCATGGATGATGCCTTTAAGTTTGTAATGCGCAACAAAGGCCTGGCAGCTGAAGCAAACTACCCTTATAGAGGAGTTGATGGACTTTGCAACAAGAACAAGGTAGCATATCATGTAGCAAAGATCACAGGTTATGAAGATGTACCAGCCAACGAGTTGGCTTTGTTGAAGGCCATGGCCAATCAACCTGTTTCTGTTGCAATTGACGCCGGTGGATACGAATTCCAGTTTTACTCACATGGGATTCTCACAGGAGATTGTGGAACTCATTTGAACCATGGTGTCACTGTAGTTGGGTATGGGACAGCTGCTGATGGTACCAAGTATTGGTTAGTCAAAAACTCATGGGGTGCAGAGTGGGGTGAGGGTGGATATGTAAGAATTCAAAGAGATGTGCATACTAGGCAAGGCCTTTGTGGCATTGCCATGAAAGCTTCTTATCCTACTGCTTGAATTTCTATAGCAATTATTAGGAAATATTCAATCTTCATCTTGTGTTCTTATTGATCATGTAATTTCTTAGTATGTAGGTTTTGGAATCAATGACGGAACTTTTTTTCATGAATTTTTAGGCAATACATTAGTACACTCGAACTACTAAATAGATCGGTACTGGTGAAATTGTGCCTTGCTTCTTCTTTTAATTTATTTTAAAGAATCTAAAACACAGGCTGGCTAGCCACATGAGAATTTGCAGAGATGTTGATATGTGAGCTACCATCATATATATATGGCCAACAAGATCCCTGGTGTAAACCACATAGTATGTATATGGTTGATATGTGAGTGCTAAGAGTTAAACCACAAAGAATGGAAAGGACAATGAAATTGGCTCATTGTATTCTTTCCTGTATTTGATTTGCTTGCAGACCTTGTCATATCCTGCTCACTTGCTAATTAGACTATATTGGTTTATGCTTATCTATATATGTCTGTTAGCTTAATTGCTTAAAGTGAATTTGATGCACTTTTTCTTTTTACAAAAAAAGAGTGATAAGTAAGTATGTGTATGCATCCTATATGCTAGCTAGGTATGACAAACTCTAGAATTAATCGAGTTCTAATGGCCTAATACTGAAAATGTATTTCATTTCATCACAGTGAAGCAGAAAATGAGTCAATTTGACTGAACTTTTTATTGGTTTTTTTCAATATGCAGGTTCC